ATATACCACTTTCGGAATTGTTTCCAATTTGAAGTCTATTTTGCGAGTAAGTATGGCCCATCTAGCTTTAAGACGGCCAAACGCGCATTCTATAGGATTTCTTGCAACTCTCAGCATGTTGTTGAAAATGACTTCTTCATTGCTGATACATGTCTTGTACTCTTTCATGCAGAAGGGAAGCAATGGATAGGCAGGATCACCAATAAGGTAGTTTGGAACTTTGGCTCTCCCTTCAACTAGGGTCTGATAGGTGGTTGGCAACTTATTGTCCCTCAGCTTAATATTAATTGAGGAGTTAGTAAAAACCTTTGCGTCATGGACGCTTCCTGGCCACATGCATTCCACATCGAGGAAACAGCCTCTGTAATCACATACTGCTTGTACGCTTAGCGAATGATATTGTTTGTAACAGAAAAAATCTTGTGAGTTCTCTGCTGGGCACTTAATTGGAATGTGCGTCCCATCTACACAACCAAATGCTTGGTTCATCCCAAATTTTGCTTCAAATTCGGATACCTTCCTTCGCATGCTTTCCTGGCTCCTGGGAAGGTGTATGTATTTTGGACCCATTTTTCTTGAGATGACTTGACATACCTCAGTTATCACAGCTGAAGCAGTGTTAACAGCAATCCCAAATGTGTTTGCTGTCATCCCTAAAGAGCCCGTATCCTTTAAAAAATATAATGTCAGTGCCAGTTTTTTCTCAGCACTCAGTGCTCTGTAATTTGGAGAGCTTAGATCCGGCGAAATGTATGGGTTCAACTCTGCTAATAAGTTCATAAAGGATTCTCTTGGCATTCTAAAGTTCTTTTTCCAGCATTCCTCTGGAGCTATTCCATTCCACATGTTCTCCCATCATAACTCAGTACGACCTTTTTTAAACCAGCAGCTGCAAGGCCTTCTATTCAAAATGTTTAATCTACGTCGAGCCAGCTTTTCACGAAAGTAATTTCGTTTCCTTGCAATCATAGTAATAATCGCGTTGTTTTGCCTTGATACGTTCATACCCCAAATGAGAACAAGGCCAAACATTTGTGTAACGAGAGAGACAACAGCTGAAATACTTGCAACAATACTTTGTATAACTTGCTTCGAAGGCGCCATGTTTTCTTTAAATTTTCGCGGCTTTAGGCGTCAATTCACTTCCAGTAGTTTTCGTCTGGAAGGCAAGATAAAATTTCCCATATGAAAGTGGGACGTATTTTGTCTCGCTCAGTGGGATGTCCCGGTAAGTGGGATCATATGAACAGGCCCTTAGACTGTATATTCATTATACATTGACTGTATAAGGTGCTACACCACTGAGGAGATGGCTACACTCAGTACAGAGAGTGAAAAATTGCATCAGATCAGTAGAGCGTAAACAACTATTAAACAGAAGCTGGTGTTTGTTTCACTGTATTGGCATTTATGAAGAAAATAACTTGCGAAACTAAAGAAAATCTCTTGACTCATTTAGAGTTGTCACGATTTCGAGTTGTCGTGTGTAACATCACAAATAAATAAATTGTACCAGTTCCACGAAGCACAACGTTTCTGATGTGTTAGACTTGTTTCAAACATCTCGCTACTCATGTTTTTAATAACGTGCCTACCCCAGCCTATGCCTGCTCTAGCCTGTGCCTGCTCTTACTGTTCTACGTTGTCGGCGACCCTGTACAGTTCTTGCAGTGTCTATGGTTAATTTAGCCACCAAATTATTTTTATTTTATGAATAATATTTATTAATTGCTCACCAAATACATATATATTACCTCTGTAACTAAGGGTGTTTTGCTGCCATTGTGTTTTTCAATTTGAAACCAGAGATGGAAAATATAGCGTACCATGGGACCATTGGTCCCAGAAAATTTTTTATGCTGGCAGAAAGAAAAAGGGGGAAAGAAAGATAAGGGAAAGAAAGAAAAGAAGGAAAAAGGAAAGAAAGAAAAAAGAAGGAAAGAAAGGAGAGAGTAACTGCACCAATAAATAGCCATTTTGTTCAGGGACAGACACTAGGTGTAGGGGGTGCCCCAAAAATAATTTACGTAAGAACTTTGATAGTGGAATGTAGCCTCATTTGCAGGCAACCTTGTTCTACCCCTTCTGCCCTTTGTTGCTGCCCACTGCCCTGGTTCCAGAATCTGCTATCTGTAACGTTCCCCTCCAATCTTAATTTCGATTCCCAATTTTTATTTCTATAGGAAGTAGTAACAGTAACAAATGACTTTATTAGCATGACTTTACATAAGAGTATTGCTTATTAGTTGGTACAAATATTTACAAATGCAAAATGTTTGTGGTAGTATGACATACTGTTCAACCCCCAAAGTTTCAACGTAAACGTGGCCTACTCGAAAGTTAACGTGAATGTGTACCTATTATGCACACAGCAAATTTTCAAAACTGTACAGGCAATACTAACAAGAAATGGTGTCATAAACCACCACATGCAAAGAGAGCTTACTATGGCCGAAAAACGAATGTATGGTGATCTGAAGTTATTGACTCAGAATGCAAATAAGAGTGGAAAACTGCTGGTGGCTTCATGTAGCACCACCACCATTTCCACCAAGTCCACCACCTGCATGCAGCTGATATAGACAGGTTCTAGATTACTGATGACATCCTGCTCGAACTTGCAAGGCGTTACAGATGTATTGGAGGACAGAGATGCATAGACTGGGCGTCTGTGCATTGTTACTTTAGCCTAAGAGTACCTGAATTGTCAGCCACACAGGACCAGTTGAGGAACAGAGTCTAAGCTATGAGAAGAAGAAACACAGACATTTTGGAGTGAACATTTTAAGTAGATCTATAGTTGTAAATGATACAAAATTGACATTGGAGTTCATGTCCCCTGTTCAATGTCCCCTGTTCAATGTTGCTGCCATAAAAAATATATCAAAAACGAGACGTCTTCTGGCATAAACGCAACATTGAAACAGGTGGGGAGAGGGGGGATATTTATCTGTAACAAATGCGTATTGTGTATATAACATTCTTAAAACTAAATTGTCCCATAGTAAAATGACAAAGATTGTCTGTGGTGTGCTCACTGATCGATCTGCAGTTATGTTAATTAATTCAGTTGGTTGTTATTGTATTTTAGAAAGTACACATCATCATTTCAAAATTAATATGGTATGTTTTGCTTTTTATAATAGTTCAGTTGCTATAAACATATTTTTTTCAACTCTGGGAGGGATGAGCGAGGGTACTATCATTACATTAAAAAAGCTTTAACTCTTGTGGAGCTATAAATACACAACATTAAAAAAATCAATCAAACTTTGCACATGATTATAAGATTTAAAAGGACAGAAGAATGACCATTTGTTAAAAAGGTAAAGTTTGGATTGCATCTCAGATATATCTTGAATTTCCGGTAAACCTAAAGGTGTATCGTATTCCAATATGTCTTCATTGCATGTGCAAGCAATTATCTCTCAAAGTCCAAAACAAAGATCAATTTATTTTATATTAACCTATAGCCAATGTGGTGATTCGGGTTTACATAGACAAGAATTTGCCAAATTAATATTGCATGTGTGGAATGAATGCTGCCACTCAAAGTGAAGAAATGCAGGATGGTGGCAACCATTTTCATATGGCAGTCAAACTTGACAAAAAAAAAACAAGATGGCTTGCAGTCAGGAGTTTAATTGATATGGCCAACATGGAATCAAAGTGAACTTTTTGGATAAACACGAAAATTACTTTACCATGTGTACGTACATAATCAAAGAGGATGCAGATTATTTGAGAATCAACCGGACCTAGCGAATGCCACGGCACCTTGAATGACAAATTCAGCTAAAAAAAACATAAGACAAACTTTAAGAAACGAGTTGCTAGTAAGAAGAAACACTTGGCAGTTTACGATGTGGTTCGGATAATGCAGTCGAAATGCATAAAGTCTTGGCTAGAGCTTATGGCTCTAGCAAGCAAGTGGCAAGAAAAGGGGAAGACAGATCTGGCAGAATTTGTTTTTTTAATTGAGGACCAAGAGTTGTGAATGAAGCCCTAGAGAAATCGCACAAACTAACAATAGCAGAAAAACGATAGGAAAGAATTAATAAAACTAGACTACAGTTACTCCAAAAGCAATAAACACAGCCATGCCAAGACAACTGCGACGGGGTATGGCTTATGTGCGGCAGTTCAGATATTGATGGGAATGGCATACCTGTTTTAACATGCACAAGTGCAGTTACGATGCCCTGCTGTGAGGCAGAGGCAAACATAGAAATATCTAAATTCATGGGCTTGCTAACTGTGGCAAAACCTTTATTTCGCCATTTAAATCCATCTATGAGTGTTTTGTTAATCCAGCACCAGGGAGTTTTGCGTGGGTTGGCATAGAGGAAGCAGAGGTGGTCTTACTTAATGACAAGATGGAAACCCTCTCTTACACCATGGTGTGAGTTTTTGCAGGTCTTAGAGGATGACAGAGTGCATTTTACTGCCCCAAAAACATTTGTGAGAAAGGATATTGTGCTAGAAAAGGACACCCCATTTTTTGCAACTAGTGATGCCCCTCTTGCCTTGGTTATGGGAGGGAGTGTGGATAGAGTCAACACTGAAATGATGGATGTTCGTTGGCATATGTTCAAATTACATTGCCAACGCTCTGCCAAGGTCAGGGGGCAGATCGTTCGAGAGGTATGGACTAAATAACAGCGGCTGCTTAAAGTGCCATTTGTAAGCTAACAGTCTACCTCGGTCTGCTTCAGGTCAGTTCCGTTTCTATCTATTCACAATGGAGTTTAACTATTCTGCAGGTTGCGGGCCGAAAAATGCGGGCTGCGGGCCAAAAAATGCGGGCTGCGGGCCAAAAAATGCGGGCTGTGGGCAGAAAAATGCTAACACGATTGCAAGCCGCGGGTCTAGTTGCGGGCCTGACGAATTTTTAAAAAAATATTGTCAAAATGTAAAGAAAATAACAATATTATTCAAAATTTTCTGTCTTTGAAGTATATTCTATGTCTAATGTTATTCGTAATCATATGCATACGAATTTTTCCTTAAATGCATTCTTTTTGTAATATCATGGAATCTCAGTTTATGAGTCGTACCAGACATTAAAACCTGTTTCGACCGGGATAACTGTATACCAATCCTAATAGTAGCACTATTTTCTATCCAGCAAACTGACCTGACGTCATTTTCGGAAGAGAGAAGAGGTGTTAAACCTGTTTTCCACTTCGACCGTATCGTAGCATTTTCTTTTGTGTTGAAATCATTAGTTCCACTCTAGCGCTCAGGAAACAAAGAAATACGCTACGTTTCGGTACACGGCAAAAAACGCCGAGCCCGCTGCTCAACAGGATTGAACAATGTTTTGCTGCCCACATTGTTCACGCTTGTCAACAATATTGAACACTATTGTTGAGCCTGAATATTGTTCAATATTGTTGACAGCTATGAACAATGTGGGCAGCAAAACATTGTTCAATCCTGTTTTCATCAGTATTGCATCAACCTGAGCGTTTTTACGTGTGTACGATACGGTTGAAGTGGAAAGCGGCCTTTAAATGGCTATGTAACTAACACAAACCCTACACCTAGTCCCTACTCTAACCCCTAACCCCAACCCTAACTCTAATCGAATTAATAAAAAAATGCAAAAAAACGACTTTAGAAAATCGATAGGGCGGTTTGCTAGATGGAAAAAAGTGCTATCAGCCAAAATCATTGGAAAATCATAGGAAAAACCAAGAAATTGGGCTTCTGTATGACCCTTTCTGTGTCCTGGTTATGATGCGCTACCGCTTATAACTTTTGGTACAACTGGCCTGAAACTTAAAATATTGATTCAATAAGTTTAATATCAATATATTTATTGAAAAATAGCTATTATGTCA